GTAAAACAAACATTGCCACGGGGGAGACAAAGACGGCCGGGCGTGCGTGGTGCTGGCCACCCCGCACCCCCTCGTGTACCGTAGCGGCCTTCATTGGCGCTGCTGTTACTCGCTACTCACAGCACTTGCCCCTACACTCTGCTAGAGGCTATACGGGGGACCTTTGTCTGTGTGTCTATAGGACACTGCTGCTACTAACAGCACTTGCCCATACAGCCCTGCTAGAGGTTACACGGGGGACCTTTGTCTGTGTGTCTATAGGCACTGCTGTTGCTACTAACAGCACTTGCCCCTACAGCCCTGCTAGAGGCTACACGGGGGACCTTTGTCTTTGTGTCTATAGGACACTGCTGCTGCTAACAGCACTTGCCCCTACCGCCCTGCTAGAGGCTACACGGGGGACCTTTGTCATTGCACGCGTGGAGGTGAGTTGAGGCCGCGTGCGTCACGGGGGGCGCGCATAGGAATTTTAAAACGCTCTGGGTCACGTGGGGGGGGGGGGGGGGGTCACGGTGGGGGGGAGGTCACGGTGGGGGGAGGTCACGGTGGGGGGAGGTCACGGTGGGGGGAGGTCACGGTGGGGGGAGGTCACGGTGGGGAGGGGTCACCGTGGGGAGGGGTCACCGTGGAGGGGTCACTGAGACGCAGGGAGAGGGGAGGGGTTGCCCCATCAACTGCCCCATCAACTGCCCCATCAACTGCCCCATCAACTGCCCCGCATGAGCCTCCACCTCGTCCTCCACCTCCATGTCCTCCTCCTGCTCCCACCTCCACCACCACCTCCACCACCACCTCCATCACCACCTCCATCACCACCTCCATCACCACCTCCGCCTGATCCACCTCCGCCTGATCCACCTCCTGCTCCACCTCCTCTTCCACCTGATCTACCACCTGCTCCACCTCCTCTTCCACCTCCTCTTCCACCTCCTCTTCCACCTCCTACCACAAACCGGAGAGAGCGAGAGACTCAGCAGCAGGAGGAGCAGGAGGAGGAGGAGGATGATGATGAGAGACGGCCGCTCTCCGCCTCCGCTCTCCGCCTCAACCCCCGTAGGGACCGCGTGGCTCCCATAGTTTCCATGGGGGGGGGGGGGCGTCACCGAGCGGGGCCACCGATTGGCCGAACCTTAGCGGTCGAGGGGGGTGAGGAGGAGGAGGAGGAGGGGGGGGGGAACTCCACGTGGCCGAGGTGCGAGGGGATCGACCCCGCTGGAGTGTGGAAGGGATCGACCCCGCTGGAGTGTGTATGGGATCGACCCCTCTGGAGTGTGTATGGGATCGACCCCTCTGGAGTGTGTATGGGATCGACCCCGCTGGAGTGTGTATGGGATCGACCCTGCTGGAGTGTGTATGGGATCGACCCCGCTGGAGTGTGTATGGGATCGACCCCGCTGGAGTGTGTATGGGATCGACCCCGCTGGAGTGTGTATGGGATCGACCCCGCTGGAGTGTGGAGGGGATCGACCCTGCTGGAGTGTGTATGGGATCGACCCCGCTGGAGTGTGTATGGGATCGACCCCGCTGGAGTGTGTATGGGATCGACCCCGCCGGAGTGTGTATGGGATCGACCCCGCTGGAGTGTGTATGGGATCGACCCCGCTGGAGTGTGTATGGGATCGACCCTGCCGGAGTGTGTATGGGATCGACCCTGCCGGAGTGTGTATGGGATCGACCCTGCCGGAGTGTGTATGGGATCGACCCCGCTGGAGTGTGTATGGGATCGACCCCGCTGGAGTGTGTATGGGATCGACCCCGCTGGAGTGTGTATGGGATCGACCCCGCTGGAGTGTGTATGGGATCGACCCCGCTGGAGTGTGTATGGGATCGACCCCGCTGGAGTGTGTATGGGATCGACCCCGCTGGAGTGTGTATGGGATCGACCCCGCTGGAGTGTGGAGGGGTTGAGTCGTCTTTATTTGGGGCCCTCTCCAAAAGATGATGGAGGTGGTGGCAGTGGTGGTGATGGTGCTGGGGATCGTGGTGGTGGCGGTGGTGGTGATGATGATGATGATGGAGGGGGTGGTGCTGATGATCGTGGTGGTGGCGGTGATGATGGTGATGATCGAGGTGGTGGTGGTGATGATGATCGAGATGATGGCCATGATGATGATCACCATCACATCCACCACCATCAGATGCTTCACCACCATCACATGCTCCACCACATCACCACCATCAGTCTCCACATTCACCATCACCACAACCACCACCACATCCACCACCATCACATTCACCACAACCACCACCACATCATCCACCACATCACCATCACATCCTCCACCACCACATTCGCAACCACCACAACCACCACATTATCCACCACATCACCACCACATCCTCCACCACCATCACCACCATCACAACCTCCACCACCACCATCACAACCACCATCACAACCTCCACCACAACCTCCACCACCACCACATCACCACCACCATCACAACCTCCACCACCATCACCACCACAACCACCACCACAACCACCACCATCACAACCTCCACCACCACCACTTAACCCCCCCCCCCCCGACTCCACTAAGTGAGTCCAGGCAATGGGGGCAAGGTTCATGGGGCAGGCGATGAGAGAGAGCGAGTGGGCGGTGCCCACCACGTGACTCTGGTGGTGGTGGGGGGTGGTGGTGGGGGGTGATGGTGGTGGTGGGGGGGGGGTGGTGGTGGGGTGGTGGTGGGGGGTTGTGGGGGGTTGTGGGGGTTGTGGTGGTGGTGGGGGGGTGGTGGTGGGGGGGAGGGCTTTTATCCCGGATGTTGTTGGCGGCTCAGCGATGAGGAGCCGGGGGGGAGGAGGAGGGGGAGGGGCACCACTTGAAGCTGTGGACACAGCGGTGGAGGGGGGGGGGGCTCAGGGGGTGGGGGCTGTGGGTTGGGGTGGGGGCTGTGGGTTTGGGCTGTGGGTTGAGGTTGTGGCTGTGTTGGTTGGGGTTGGGGCTGTGGGTTGGGGTTGGGGCTGTGGGTTGGATTTGGGGCTGTGGGTTGGGGTTGGGGCTGTGGGTTGGGGTTGGGGCTGTGGGTTTGGGTTGGGGCTGTGGGTTGGGGTGGGGGCTGTGGGTTGGGGCTGTGGGTTGAGGTTGGGGCTGTGTTGGTTGGGGTTGGTTGGGGTTGGTTGGGGTTGGGGCTGTGGGTTGGGGTTGGGGCTGTGGGTTGGGGTTGGGGCTGTGGGTTGGGGTGGGGGTGGGGGCTGTGGGTTGGGGCTGTGGGTTGAGGTTGGGGCTGTGTTGGTTGGGGTTGGTTGGGGTTGGGGCTGGGGCTGTGGGTTGGGGTTGGGGCTGTGGGTTGGGGTTGGGGCTGTGGGTTGGGGTTGGGGCTGTGGGTTGGGGTTGGGGCTGTGGGTTGGTGTGGGGGTGGGGGCTGTGGGTTGGGGCTGTGGGTTGGGGTTGGGGCTGTGTTGGTTGGGGTTGGGGGTGGGGGTGGGGGCTGTGGGTTGGGGCTGTGGGTGGGGGTGGGGGCTGTGGGTTGGGGGCTGTGGGTTGGGGGTGGGGGCTGTGGGTTGGGGTTGGGGCTGTGGGTTGGGGTTGTGTGGGTTGGGGCTGTGTGTGTTAGGGCCTGCGGGGTTATCTCTCATTCCACGGTAATTGTGCTGACACCCATTCACACAGAGCACAAATCTCTCCCTCCCCCCTTCAGCCTCAGGGCAAATGTTTACTCTGTGCGTGTCAACCGGGAGCGGTGGCGCAGCGGTTAGCGCCTCGAACCCGGCGACCCGAGTTCGATTCTCACCGCTCGGTGACGATTATAACTGAACCGGTCCTGGGGCCTCCCCCTAGGTCGACTCGGCCTCAAATGAGTTACCCGGTGCGGTGCGTAGAAGTCGACATCGCTGCTGGGGAGAGACAAAGGCGGCCGGGCGTGCGTGCTGCTTACCAGCCCTCTCACCCATCTCACCCATCTCACCCTGGTGTTGATGTTGCCGAGTGGACTTGCCGATGACCGGTACCAGCGATGTCAAGATCGGCCTCTGTGGGGGGGGAGGAGGAGGAGGTTTCGTGAAGGACGCTACTGTGGGTTGGTGCCAGGCTAGGTGCACGTTGAGGCTACTGGGCAGTTGGGAGGCAGTTCCTCCAGCAACAACAGCGGAGGAGAGACGCTCACAACAACGAGCGGCGCGCCGGGCGGATAAAACGCAGCGAGTTGGCACAGTAGGGGCCGCAGGTGGTGCACCTAGCCTGGCACAGTAGAGGGGGCACAGGTGGTGCATCTGCCACTGATCTAAGTCGGTCAACCCACGGCGCCTGCTGGGTCTATCCCGTGACCACCACCTCCTGCACCTAGCCTGGCACAGCAGTCAACCCATGGCACCTGCTGGGTCTGTCCCATGTCACACTTCACGTAGCCTTAAAGTGCACACTGCCTGGCACAAGCACTGTGGTGACGTCACCGCTGTTTAGTTGCAAATGGCGGGTGGTGGTGGCTGCTGGTGGTGGTGGTGGTTGTTGTTGTTGTTGCTGCTGCCATGTGTGGAGTCTGGTGTTGATTTGGAATGAAATATCCAGAGAAAGGAGATCCGCAGGGTCGCTGGGTTTAGAGGTGGGGACATCGAGTCCAGTTTGCCTCTCTGGTGTGATGGGTCTCTATGTGAGTCTATGGCTCTCTGCTGTGTGATGAGTCTATGGGTCTCTGCTGTGTGATGAGTCTATGGGTCACTGCCGTGTGATGAGTCTATGGCTCTCTGCCGTGTGACGAGTCTATGGGTCTCTGCTGTGTGATGAGTCTATGGCTCTCTGCTGTGTGACGAGTCTATGGCTCTCTGCTGTGTGACGAGTCTATGGGTCTCTGCTGTGTGATGAGTCTATGGGTCTCTGCTGTGTGATGAGTCTATGGCTCTCTGCTGTGTGATGAGTCTATGGGTCTCTGCTGTGTGATGAGTCTATGGCTCTCTGCTGTGTGATGAGTCTGTGGCTCTCTGCCGTGTGACGAGTCTATGGCTCTCCGCTGACCCCTAACCCCCCGCCCCCCCCCACCCCGTCCTCTCGTCACCCACAGGCGCCCATGGCGCTTGCTGTCGGCCCTTCCCCACGCCGGCACCGCCAACGCCGGCGGCAGTGCTGGCGTGGCTGCGACGGCTGTGCCGGCGCGCAGGCTGCACAGCCGCCCGTTGGATGCCCGCCTCGCCAACGCCGAGCTGTCCGACTACATCGATAGCACCGCCCGGCTCTGCCAACCGGACAAGGTGTGGCGGTGGTGGCGGTGGTGGCGGTGGTGGCGGCGGTTGTGCCGGACTCCATCCTCTAAACTAAGCTCTTGTTTTACCGCTACCGGGTGGGTTAGTCAGGCACCACCACACGGCTCGTGGGCTGCCACACAGTGGCTCGGCGCAGCGTGGACATCGCACAGACGATAGCGGCTCAAGGAAGTGGCTGATGTCGTCGTCGTCATCATCGTCGTCATCGTCGCGTAGAGACGTCGCTTCTACAGTGAGGGAAGAAAGTATTTGAACCCCCGCTGATTTTGTACGTTTGCCCACCGACAAAGAAATGATCAGTCTATAATTTTAATGGTAGGTTTATTTGAACAGTGAGAGACGGAATAACAACATCAAAATCCAGAAAAATGCATGTCAAAAATGTCATAAATTGATTTGCATTTTAATGAGGGGAAATGAGTATTTGATCCCCTCTCAATCAGAAAGATTCCTGGCTCCCAGGTGTGCTTTATACAGGTAACGAGCTGAGATTAGGAGAAAATCCAGGAGGGCCCAGAAAAGAGATCAAGAGAGGGAGAGAGACGCAGCCTCCACAACCTCATATTTGTTCATCTTTATTTTCCCACCTGATGATGGACGCTGGTGTTGCGCCCGAAACGTCGTGATTTATTTTATTTTCTACCTACTACGTGGTGACTTTACCGAAAGAACCAAAGAGTATGGATTCCTGCAGTCACGAAGGCCTCAAATCAAGATTGAACCTCCGATTTGGTCTTTGGGTCTTTGGGTAACGTTTAACACGTAGGCTTTGGGTAACGTTTAACACGTAGGCTTTGTGTAATGTTTAACACGTAGGCTTTGGGTAAAGTTTAACACGTAGGCTTTGGGTAAAGTGTAACACGTAGGCTTTGGGTAAAGTGTAACACGTAGGCTTTGGGTAAAGTGTAACACGTAGGCTTTGGGTAAAGTTTAACACGTAGGCTTTGGGTAAAGTGTAACACGTAGGCGTTGGGTAAAGTTTAACACGTAGGCTTTGGGTAAAGTTTAACACGTAGGCTTTGGGTAAAGTTTAACACGTAGGCTTTGGGTAAAGTGTAACACGTAGGCTTTGGGTAAAGTTTAACACGTAGGCTTTGGGTAAAGTGTAACACGTGGGCGTTGGGTAAAGTTTAACACGTGGGCTTTGGGTAAAGTTTAACACGTAGGCTTTGGGTAAAGTTTAACACGTAGGCTTTGGGTAAAGTTTAACACGTAGGCTTTGGGTAAAGTTTAACACGTAGGCTTTGGGTAAAGTTTAACACGTAGGCTTTGGGTAAAGTGTAACACGTAGGCGTTGGGTAAAGTTTAACACGTGGGCTTTGGGTAAAGTTTAACACGTGGGCTTTGGGTAAAGTTTAACACGTAGGCTTTGGGTAAAGTTTAACACGTAGGCTTTGGGTAAAGTTTAACACGTAGACTTTGGGTAAAGTTTAACACGTAGACTTTGGGTAAAGTTTAACACGTAGGCTTTGGGTAAAGTTTAACACGTAGGCTTTGGGTAAAGTTTAACACGTAGGCTTTGGGTAAAGTTTAACACGTAGGCTTTGGGTAAAGTTTAACACGTAGGCTTTGGGTAACGTTTAACACGTAGGCTTTGGGTAACGTTTAACACGTAGGCTTTGGGTAAAGTTTAACACGTAGGCTTTGGGTAAAGTTTAACACGTAGGCTTTGGGTAAAGTTTAACACGTAGGCTTTGGGTAAAGTTTAACACGTAGGCTTTGGGTAAAGTTTAACACGTAGGCTTTGGGTAACGTGTAATACGTAGGCTTTGGATAAAGTGTAACACGTAGGCTTTGGGTAAAGTGTAACACGTAGGCTTTGGGTAAAGTTTAACACGTAGGCTTTGGTAAAGTTTAACACGTGGGCTTTGGGTAAAGTTTAACACGTAGGCTTTGGGTAAAGTTTAACACGTAGGCTTTGGGTAAAGTTTAACACGTAGGCTTTGGGTAAAGTTTAACACGTAGGCTTTGGGTAACGTTTAACACGTGGGCTTTGGGTAAAGTTTAACACGTGGGCTTTGGGTAAAGTTTAACACGTAGGCTTTGGGTAAAGTTTAACACGTAGGCTTTGGGTAAAGTTTAACACGTAGGCTTTGGGTAAAGTGTAACACGTAGGCTTTGGGTAAAGTGTAACACGTAGGCTTTGGGTAAAGTTTAACACGTAGGCTTTGGGTAAATTTTAACACGTAGGGGTTGGGTAAAGTTTAACACGTAGGGGTTGGGTAAAGTTTAACACGTAGGCTTTGGGTAAAGTTAACACGTAGGCTTTGGGTAAAGTTTAACACGTAGGCTTTGGGTAAAGTTAACACGTAGGCTTTGGGTAAAGTTTAACACGTAGGCTTTGGGTAAAGTTTAACACGTAGGCGTTGGGTAAAGTTTAACACGTCGTAGGCTTTGGGTAAAGTTTAACACGTAGGCTTTCGGTAAAGCCGGGTAGATAGTTTCAAAGAAAATAACCATATGGTACGACGTTTTGGACCGCAACACAAGCGGTGGTCATAATCTTATTTTGTTTCCTGATGACGACCGCTTGCGTTGCGATTGAAACGTCGTAGTTTTTTGTTTGTTATTTTTTTTAACCTATCTACGTTAATTCCTGCAGTCACGAAGGCTTTAAGTCAAGATTTAACCTCCTATATACCGGGTGAGGTAGTTAACATCTCCTAGCCACCGTGATGATGATGGGAGAAAGACACAGATTGCAAATATACAGCAGCAGGCATCGTCAAGGGGATGGGATGGAACCCACGACGTCCGGCCTGTACACCAGGCGAGGTAGTCAACATCTCATAGCCACCGTGATGATGATGAGAGAGAGAGAGACGCAGACTCCACATAGACCTCATGTATACCAGGCGAGGTATTCAACATCTCATAGCCACCGTGATGATGATGAGAGAGAGACACAGACTCCACATAGACCTCCTGTACACCGGGCGAGGTAGTCAACATCTCATAGCGACCGTGATGATGATGATGAGAGAGAGACGCAGACTCCACATAGACCTCCTGTATACCAGGCGAGGTAGTCAACATCTCATAGCCACCGTGATGATGATGATGAGAGAGACGAAGACTCCACATAGACCTTCTGTACACCGGGCGAGGTAGTCAACATCTCATAGCCACCGTGATGATGATGAGAGAGAGAGAGACGCAGACTCCACATAGACCTCATGTAGACCAGGCAAGGTAGTCAACATCTCATAGCCACCGTGATGATGATGAGAGAGAGACACAGACTCCACATAGACCTCCTGTACACCGGGCGAGGTAGTCAACATCTCATAGCGACCGTGATGATGATGAGAGAGAGACGCAGACTCCACATAGACCTCCTGTAGACCAGGCGAGGTAGTCAACATCTCATAGCCACCGTGATGATGATGAGAGAGAGAGACGCAGACTCCACATAGACCTGTAGACCAGGCGAGGTAGTCAACATCTCATAGCCACCGTGATGATGATGAGAGAGAGACACAGACTCCACATAGACCTCCTGTACACCGGGCGAGGTAGTCAACATCTCATAGCGACCGTGATGATGATGATGAGAGAGAGAGACGCAGACTCCACATAGACCTCCTGTAGACCAGGCGAGGTAGTCAACATCTCATAGCCACCGTGATGATGATGAGAGAGAGACGCAGACTCCACATAGACCTCCTGTACACCGGGCGAGGTAGTCAACATCTCATAGCCACCATGATGATGATGAGAGACAGACGCAGACTCCACATAGACCTCCTGTACACCGGGCGAGGTAGTCAACATCTCATAGCCACCGTGATGATGAGAGAGAGACGCAGACTCCACATAGACCTCCTGTACACCGGGCGAGGTAGTCAACATCTCATAACGACCGTGATGATGATGATGAGAGAGAGACGCAGACTCCACGTAGACCTCCTGTAGACCAGGCGAGGTAGTCAACATCTCATAGCCACCGTGATGATGATGAGAGAGAGAGACTCCACATAGACCTCCTGTACACCAGGCGAGGTAGTCAACATCTCATAGCCACCGTGATGATGATGATGAGAGAGAGACGCAGACTCCACATAGACCTCCTGTACACCGGGCGAGGTAGTCAACATCTCATAACGACCGTGATGATGATGATGAGAGAGAGACACAGACTCCACATAGACATAGACCTCCTGTACACCGGGCGAGGTAGTCAACATCTCATAGCCCCCGTGATGATGATGAGAGAGAAAGAGATGCAGACTCCACATAGAACTCCTGTACACCGGGCGAGGTAGTCAACATCTCATAGCCACCGTGATGATGATGACAGAGAGATACAGACTCCACATAGACCTCCTGTACATCAGGCGAGATAGTCAACATCTCATAGCCACCGTGATGATGATGATGATGATGAGAGAGAGACGCAGACTCCACATAGACCTCCTGCACACCGGGCGAGGTAGTCAACATCTCATAGCCACCGTGATGATGATGATGAGAGACACAGACTCCACATAGACCTCCTGTAGACCAGGCGAGGTAGTCAACATCTCCTAGCCACCGTGATGATGAGAGAGAGACACAGAATCCACATAGACCTCCTGTACACCGGGCGAGGTAGTCAACATCTCATAGCCACCGTGATGATGAGAGAGAGACACAGACTCCACATAGACCTCCTGTACACCGGGCGAGGTAGTCAACATCTCATAGCCCCGGTGATGATGATGAGAGAGAGAGACGCAGACTCCACATAAACCTCCTGTACACCGGGCGAGGTAGTCAACATCTCATAGCCACCGTGATGATGATGATGATGAGAGAGAGACGCAGACTCCACATAGACCTCCTGTACACCGGACGAGGTAGTCAACATCTCATAGCGACCACGGCGTGCCTTTGCCGTGTGTGGCTCGTGCGGGTCCGGTTTAGTCGGCCAAGACCCGCCGAGTCTCCTGCGGCTGTCCGGGATCCCGGCCTCGGCCTGAAGGGACGGTGTAGACTTGTTCCAACGCCCGGAAGATTGGACTTTTATTTTTTAATTCTAACACTGCTTCATCCGGAGTCATCCAGATTGGTCTGCAGTCGCAGATTCACATTCCTGTGTCCGTGATGCTGTACCCGTGTGAGTGTGTGTACCCGTGTGAGTGTGTGTGTGATTGTGTAACCGTGTGTAACTGTGTGTGTGTATCTGTGTGTGTATGTGTGGGGAGTGATAGTGTAGCGGTTAGCGCGCTGCGCTATGAACCTGGCGACCCGGGTTCGATTCCCGCTCACGGCCAACACCAGTGACGATTATCTGAACCGGTCCCGGGCCTCCCCTAGGTCGACTCAGCCTCAAATGAGTACCTGGTGCGGTGTGTAAACATCGCCACTCGGGAAGCAAAGGCGGTCGGGCGTGGTGCTGGCCACCCACCCCCTCGTGTACCGTTCCGGCCTTCATAGGTGCTCGCTAACAGCACTTGCCCCTACAGTCTGTTAAGGCTATATGGGGGGTCTTTGTGTATGTGTGTGTGTGTAACTGTGTATGTGTAAGTGTAACTGTATGTGTAACTGTGTGTGTGTAACTGTATGTGTAACTGTGTGTGTATGTGTAACTGTGTGTGTATGTGTAACTGTGTGTGTATGTGTAACTGTGTGTGTATGTGTATCTGTGTGTGTATGTGTATCTGTGTGTGTATGTGTAACTGTGTGTGTATGTGTAACTGTGTGTGTATGTGTATCTGTGTGTGTATCTGTATGTGTGTGTGTGTGTATATATGTGTAACTGTGTGTGTGTGTGTATATATGTGTAACTGTGTGTGTGTGTATATATGTGTAACTGTGTGTGTGTGTGTATATATATATGTGTAACTGTGTGTGTGTGTGTATATATATATGTGTAACTGTGTGTGTGTGTGTATATATGTGTAACTGTGTGTGTGTGTGTGTATATATGTGTAACTGTGTGTGTGTGTGTATATATGTGTAACTGTGTGTGTGTGTGTATATATGTGTAACTGTGTGTGTGTATATATGTGTAACTGTGTGTGTGTGTATATATGTGTAACTGTGTGTGTGTGTATATATGTGTAACTGTGTGTGTGTGTATATATGTGTAACTGTGTGTGTGTGTATATATGTGTAACTGTGTGTGTGTATATATGTGTAACTGTGTGTGTGTATATATGTGTAACTGTGTGTGTGTATATATGTGTAACTGTGTGTGTGTATATATGTGTAACTGTGTGTGTGTATATATGTGTAACTGTGTGTGTGTATATATGTGTAACTGTGTGTGTGTATATATGTGTAACTGTGTGTGTGTGTATGTGTAACTGTGTGTGTGTGTGTATGTGTAACTGTGTGTGTGTGTGTATGTGTAACTGTGTGTGTGTGTGTATGTGTAACTGTGTGTGTGTGTGTATGTGTAACTGTGTGTGTGTGTGTATGTGTAACTGTGTGTGTGTGTGTATGTGTAACTGTGTGTGTGTGTGTATGTGTAACTGTGTGTGTGTGTGTATGTGTAACTGTGTGTGTGTGTGTATGTGTAACTGTGTGTGTGTGTGTATGTGTAACTGTGTGTGTGTGTGTATGTGTAACTGTGTGTGTGTGTGTGTATGTGTAACTGTGTGTGTGTGTGTATATATGTGTAACTGTGTGTGTGTGTGTATATATGTGTAACTGTATGTGGGTGTGTATGTGTAACTGTATGTGGGTGTGTATGTGTAACTGTATGTGTGTGTGTGTAACTGTGTGTGTGTAACTGTATGTGTGTGTGTGTAACTGTGTGCGTGTGCAGGTCCACATCTGCGATGGCTCTGAGGCTGAGAACGAGGCGCTGCTTTCGCTGCTGCAGAACCAGGGCATGGTCAAGAAGCTCCCCAAGTACCAGGATTGGTGAGCGCTCACCGCCGCCGCTCCTCACCGCCGCTCCTCACCGCCGCTCCTCACCGCCGCTCCTCACCGCCGCTCCTCACCGCCGCTCCTCACCGCCGCTCCTCGCCGCCTTTGCAGCGCTCCGGCGCGCTTGACGGCGTTTCACGGCGCTTCTCACCTCCGTGTCTCTCCCCCCCGCCCCCGCCCACCCCCACAACCCCTGCGGCCTCCCAGCTGGCTGGCACGCACGGACCCCCGCGACGTGGCGCGCGTGGAGAGTCGCACGGTGATCGTGACGGAGAGGGAGCGGGATACGGTGCCCGTGCCACGCTCCGGCAGGCCCAGCCAGCTGGGCCGGTGGATGTCGCCGGGAGACCTGACGTCGGCCATGCAGGAGCGTTTCCCCGGGTGCATGCGCGGTGAGAGAGACGCGGGGGGCGGGGGATCGATGAAGGGGGGAGAGACGCGGGTTGGGGGGGGGAGAGACATGGAGGGAGAGAGACGGGGGAGGTGTGAGCGTGAGTGAGCGTGTCTGTGAGCGTGTCTGTGAGCGTGTCTGTGAGCGTGTCTGTGAGTGAGCGTGTCTGTGAGCGTGTCTGTGAGCGTGTGTGTGAGCGTGTCTGTGAGCGTGTCTGTGAGCGTGAGTGAGCGTGAGTGAGCGTGAGTGAGCGTGTCTGTGAGCGTGAGTGAGCGTGTCTGTGAGCGTGTCTGTGAGCGTGAGTGAGAGTGTCTGTGAGCGTGTCTGTGAGCGTGTGTGTGAGCGTGTCTGTGAGCGTGTGTGTGAGCGTGTGTGTGAGCGTGTCTGTGAGCGTGTCTGTGAGCGTGTCTGTGAGCGTGTCTGTGAGCGTGTCTGTGAGCGTGTGTGTGAGCGTGTGTGTGAGCGTGTCTGTGAGCGTGTCTGTGTGTGTGTGTGTGAGCGTGTCTGTGAGCGTGTCTGTGAGCGTGTCTGTGAGCGTGTCTGTGAGCGTGTCTGTGAGCGTGTCTGTGAGCGTGTCTGTGAGCGTGTCTGTGAGCGTGTCTGTGAGCGTGTCTGTGTGTGTGTGTGTGGCGGTGGAGCGGTGTCGTAGCGGTTAGTGCTACGCTGCGCTACGAACCTGGCGACCCGGGTTCGATTCCCGCTCACGGCCAACACCGGTGACGATTGTCTGAACCGGTCATGGGCCTCCCCTAGGTCGACTCGGCCTCAAATGAGTACCTGGTGCGGTGTGTAGTAAACATCGCCACTGGGGAGACAAAGGCGGTCGGGCGTGGTGCTGGCCACCCACCCCCTCGTGTGCCGTTCCGGCCTTCATAGGTGCTCGCTAACAGCACTTGCCCCTACAGTCTGTTAAGGCTGCACGTGGGATCTTTGTGTGAGTCTTGAGAGACAAGTGTGTGTGTGCGAGTCTGCGAGTCAATCGTTAACAGTACTTGCCCCGACACGTCTCTCCCTGTGTGTGTGTGTCTCTCCCTGTGTGTGTGTGCGTGTCTCCCTGTCTGTGTGTGTGTGTGTCTCTCCCTGTGTGTGTGTCTCTCCCTGTGTGTGTGTGTCTCTCCCTGTGTGTGTGTGTCTCTCCCTGTGTGTGTGTCTCTCCCTGTGTGTGTGTGTCTCTCCCTGTGTGTGTGTGTGTCTCTCCCTGTGTGTGTGTGTCTCTCCGTGTGTGTGTGTCTCTCCCTGTGTGTGTGTGTGTCTCTCCCTGTGTGTGTGTGTGTCTCTCCCTGTGTGTGTGTGTGTCTGTCCCTCCCTGTGTGTGTGTGTCTGTCTCTCCCTGTGTGTGTGTCTGTCTGTCTGTCTCTCCCTGTGTGTGTGTCTGTCTGTCTGTCTCTCCCTGTGTGTGTGTCTGTCTGTCTGTCTCTCCCTGTGTGTGTGTCTGTCTGTCTGTCTCTCCCTGTGTGTGTGTCTGTCTGTCTGTCTCTCCCTGTGTGTGTGTCTGTCTGTCTCTCCCTGTGTGTGTGTCTGTCTTGTCTGTCTCTCCCTGTGTGTGTGTCTGTCTGTCTGTCTCTCCCTGTGTGTGTGTGTGTGTCTGTCTGTCTCTCCCTGTGTGTGTGTGTGTGTCTGTCTGTCTCTCCCTGTGTGTGTGTGTGTCTGTCTGTCTCTCCCTGTGTGTGTGTGTGTCTGTCTGTCTCTCCCTGTGTGTGTGTGTGTCTGTCTGTCTCTCCCTGTGTGTGTGTGTCTGTCTGTCTCTCCCCGTGTGTGTGTGTGTGTCTCCCCGTGTGTGTGTGTCTCCCCGTGTGTGTGTGTGTGTCTCTCCCCGTGTGTGTGTGTGTGTGTCTCTCCCCGTGTGTGTGTGTGTGTGTCTCTCCCCGTGTGTGTGTCTCTCCCCGTGTGTGTGTGTGTGTCTCTCCCCGTGTGTGTGTGTGTGTGTGTCTCTCCCTGTGTGTGTGTGTCTCTCCCTGTGTGTGTGTGTCTCTCCCTGTGTGTGTGTGTCTCTCCCTGTGTGTGTGTGTGTGTCCCTGTGTGTGTGTGTCTGTCCCTGTGTGTGTGTGTGTGTCTGTCTGTCTGTCCCTGTGTGTGTGTGTGTCTGTCTGTCTGTCCCTGTGTGTGTGTGTGTGTCTGTCTGTCTGTCCCTGTGTGTGTGTGTGTCTGTCTGTCTCTCCCTGTGTGTGTGTGTGTCTGTCTGTCTGTCTCTCCCTGTGTGTGTCTGTCTGTCTGTCTCTCCCTGTGTGTGTCTGTCTGTCTGTCTCTCCCTGTGTGTGTGTCTGTCTGTCTGTCTCTCCCTGTGTGTGTCTGTCTGTCTGTCTCTCCCTGTGTGTGTGTGTGTCTGTCTGTCTCTCCCTGTGTGTGTGTGTGTGTCTGTCTGTCTCTCCCTGTGTGTGTGTGTGTGTCTGTCTGTCTCTCCCTGTGTGTGTGTGTGTGCGTCTGTCTCTCCCTGTGTGTGTGTGTGTGCGTCTGTCTCTCCCTGTGTGTGTGTGTGTGCGTCTGTCTCTCCCTGTGTGTGTGTGTGCGTCTCTCCCTGTGTGTGCGTCTCTCCCTGTGTGTGCGTCTCTCCCTGTGTGTGCGTGTGTGCGTCTCTCCCTGTGTGTGCGTGTGTGCGTCTCTCCCTGTGTGTGCGTGTGTGCGTCTCTCACTGTGTGTGCGTGTGTCTGTCCCTCCCTGTGTGTGCGTGTCCCCGCGTCTCCCCCCGTGTGCAGGCCGCACCATGTACGTGGTGCCGTTCAGCATGGGCCCGCTGGGCTCGCCGCTGGCCAAGACGGGAGTCCAACTCACCGACTCCCCCTACGTGGTCGTGTCCATGCGCATCATGACGCGCATGGGCGCCCACGTGCTCTCGGCGCTGGGCGACGGGGAGTTCGTCAAGTGCCTGCACTCGCTCGGAAGCCCTCTGCCGCTCGCCGGTACCGTCGCACGACGCTCGTGGGGGGATACGGGGGGTGGCGTGGGTGGTACGGGGAGGGTGTGGGTGGTACGGGGAGGGCGTGGGTGGTACGGGGGGTGGCGTGGGTGGTACGGGGGGTGGCGTGGGTGGTACGGGGGGTGGCGTGGGTGGTACGGGGGGTGGCGTGGGTGGTACGGGGAGGGCGTGGGTGGTACGGGGGGGTGGCGTGGGTGGTACGGGGAGGGCGTGGGTGGTACGGGGAGGGCGTGGGTGGTACGGGGGGTGGCGTGGGTGGTACGGGGGGTGGCGTGGGTGGTACGGGGAGGGCGTGGGTGGTACGGGGGGTGGCGTGGGTGGTACGGGGGGTGGCGTGGGTGGTACGGGGAGGGCGTGGGTGGTACGGGGGGGGGGGTGGGTGGTACGGGGGGTGGCGTGGGTGGTACGGGGGGTGGCGTGGGTGGTACGGGGAGGGCGTGGGTGGTACGGGGGGTGGCGTGGGTGGTACGGGGAGGGTGGCGTGGGTGGTACGGGGAGGGCGTGGGTGGTACGGGGAGGGCGTGGGTGGTACGGGGGGTGGCGTGGGTGGTCCGGGGAGGGTGTGGGTGGTACGGGGAGGGCGTGGGTGGTACGGGGGGTGGCGTGGGTGGTACGGGGAGGGCGTGGGTGGTACGGGGGGTGGAGTGGGTGGTACGGGGAGGGCGTGGGTGGTACGGGGGGTGGCGTGGGTGGTACGGGGAGGGTGTGGGTGGTACGGGGAGGGCGTGGGTGGTACGGGGGTGGCGTGGGTGGTACGGGGAGGGCGTGGGTGGTACGGGGGGTGGCGTGGGTGGTACGGGGAGGGCGTGGGTGGTACGGGGGGTGGCGTGGGTAGTACGGGGGGTGGTGTGGGTCGGGGGGAATATCTGGAGAGCAGCTGGCCGTGTGTACCCGTGTGTGTGTGTACCCGTGTGTGTGTGTGTACCTGTGTGTACCCGTGCGTGTGTGTACCCGTGTGTACCCGTGTGTGTGTGTGTGTGTACCCGTGTGTGTGTGTGTACCTGTGTGTACCCGTGTGTGTGTGTGTACCCGTGTGTACCCGTGTGTGTGTGTACCCGTGTGTACCCGTGTGTGTGTGTGTGTGTACCCGTGTGTGTGTGTGTACGTGCGTGTGTGTCCGTGTGTGTGTACCCGTGTGTGTGTACGTGCGTGTGTGTGTACCCGTGTGCGTACCCATGCGTGTGTGTACGCGTGCGTACCCGTGCGTGTGTGTGTACCCGTGTGTGTACCCGTGCGTGTGTGTAACCGTGTGTGTAACCGTGCGTGTGTGTGTACGTGTGTGTACCCGTGCGTGTGTGTGTAACCGTGTGTGTGTGTACCCGTGCGTGTGTGTGTAACCGTGCGTGTGTGTGTACGTGTGTGTACCCGTGCGTGTGTGTAACCGTGTGTGTGTGTGTGTAACCGTGTGTGTGTGTGTGTAACCGTGTGTGTGTGTGTGTAACCCATCCAGAGGGCGTGTCGGCCACCTGGCCGTGTAACCCAGACAAGACGCTCATCGCCCACGTGCCGGACCGGCGGGAGATCATGTCGTTCGGCAGCGGCTACGGGGGCAACTCCCTGCTGGGCAAGAAGTGCTTCGCCCTGCGCATCGCCTCGCGCATCGCTCGCGACGAGGGCTGGCTCGCGGAGCACATGCTGGTACGTCACCAGAGTCGCACCGTCACCACCGTCACCACAGTCACACAGTTACCATAGTCACCATAGTCACACCGTCACCACAGCCATCACAGTTACCACAGTCACACAGTTACCACAGTCACACAGTTACCACAGTCACCACAGTCACCACCGTCACGCCGTTACCACAGTCACACCGTCACCACAGTCACCACAGTCACCACAGCCACCACAGTCACACCGTTACCACAGTCACGCCGTCACCACAGTCACACAGTTACCACAGTCACCACAGTCACGCCGTCACCACAGTCACACCGTTAACACAGTCACACCGTCACCACAGTCACCACAGTCACCACAGCCACCACAGTCACACTGTTACCACAGTCACGCCGTCACCACAGTCACACCGTTAACACAGTCACACCGTTACCACAGTCACCACAGTCACCACAGCCACCACAGTCACACTGTTACCACAGTCACCACAGTCACACTGTTACCACAGTCACCACAGTCACACCGTCACCACAGTCACACAGTCACCACAGTCACACAGTCACCACAGTCATCACAGTCACACCGTTACCACAGCCACACCGTCACCCCGTTACCACAGTCGCACCGTCACCACAGTCACCACAGTCACACCGTCACCACAGTCACACCGTCACACCGTTACCACAGTCACCACAGTCACACCGTCACCACAGTCACACAGTCACCACAGTCACACAGTCACCACAGTCATCACAGTCACACCGTTACCACAGCCACACCGTCACCCCGTCACCACCGTCACCACCGTCACCACCGTCACCACCGTCACCACCGTCACCACCGTCACCACCGTCACCACCGTCACCACCGTTACCACAGTCAAACCGTTACCACAGTCACACCGTTACCACAGTCACACCGTTACCACAGTCACACCGTTACCACAGTCACCACAGTCACCACAGTCACACAGTCACACCGTTACCACAGCCACACCGTCACCCCGTTACCACAGTCACACCGTCACCACAGTCACCACAGTCACACCGTCACCACCGTCACCACCGTCACCACAGTCACACCGTCACCACAGTCACACCGTCACCACAGTCACCACCGTCACCACCGTCACCACAGTCAAACCGTTACCACAGTCACACCGTTACCACAGTCACACCGTTACCACAGTCACCACAGTCACCACAGTCACACCGTTACCACAGCCACGCCGTCACCCCGTTACCACAGTCACACCGTCACCACAGTCACCACAGTCACACCGTCACCACAGTCACACCGTCACACCGTTACCACAGTCACACCGTTACCACAGTCACACCGTCACCACAGTCACACCGTCACCACAGTCACACCGTTACCACAGTCACCACAGTCACCACAGCCACCACAGTCACACCGTCACCACAGTCACCACAGTCACACCGCAACACAAGCGTCCGCCTGATAACGGACGCTTGTGTTGCGCCCGGAACGTCGTGATTTTATTTTATTTAATACCCACAGTAAAACCTTGGATTGCGAGCACAATTCGTTCCGGGAACGCGTTTGTAATCCAAAGCACTCGTATATCGGTCGTGGTCACGTGACGCTCGGCAGCACAGAGCGTGTACACGTACACTGCTCGTGTCGCTAAGACCCTCGCAGACCAAGTTGCTCGCAACCCAAGGTTTTACTGTACGCGACTTTACGGAAAGACCCAAAGGACATGGATTCCTGCAGTCACGAAAGCTTCAAATCAAGATCGGTACCGCTGGTACCGGTCGTCGGCAAGTCGACTCGGCTCCACGTCCGCCCGTACCGCATCGGCTCCATCTCTCCTCCAGCCCCGTGTCGTGCCTGTTTAGCCCCAACTGGCCCGGGAGCAGCAGCAGCAGCAGCAGCGACAGCGTCATACACGAGCCTCCTCTTCCACAGAGGCCGATCTTGACACCACCGCACGCGCACACCCTCACCGGGGCCCGTTCCTAGCCGTGGTGGCGGTGTCGTGGTCGCGTAGGGGAGCCGCCGTGGTGCCGGTGGTGCCGGCGGCGGCGGTGGCGGTGGTGGTGGTGGTGGTGTGGCACTGGCAAGAGGACCGGCGCTGAGGGTAGAGAGCTGTGTGACGGCATGCTTTGTGGGCATGCTTGACATGCGTGTGTCATGGGCATGTATGACGTGTGTGTGTGACGGGCATGTATGACGTGTGTGTGTGACGGGCATGTATGACGTGTGTGTGTCACGGGCATGTATGACGTGTGTGTGACGGGCATGTATGACGTGCGTGTGACGGGCATGTATGACGTGTGTGTGACGGGCATGTATGACGTGCGTGTGATGGGCATGTATGACGTGTGTGTGATGGGCATGTATGATGTGCGTGTGACGGGCATGTATGACGTGTGTGTCATGGGCATGTATGACGTGTGTGTGACGGGCATGTATGACGTGCGTGTGACGGGCATGTATGATGTGCGTGTGACGGGCATGTATGACGTGTGTGTGACGGGCATGTATGACGTGTGTGTGTGACGGGCATGTATGACGTGCGTGTCACAGGCATGTATGACGTGTGTGTCACGGGCATGTATGACGTGCTTGTCACAGGCATGTATGACGTGTGTGTGACGGGCATGTATGACGTGTGTGTCACGGGCATGTATGACGTGTGTGTGACGGGCATGTATGACGTGCGTGTGACGGGCATGTATGACGTGTGTGTCACGGGCATGTATGACGTGTGTGTGTGACGGGCATGTATGACGTGTGTGTCACGGGCATGTATGACGTGTGTGTGATGGGCATGTATGACGCGCGTGTGTCACGGGCATGTATGACGTGCGTGTGTCACGGGCATGTATGACGTGTGTGTGATGGGCATGTATGACGCGCGTGTGTGATGGGCATGTATGACGCGCGTGTGTGACGGGCATGTATGATGTGCGTGTCACGGGCATGTATGACACGCGTGTGATGGGCATGTATGACGCGCGTGTGACGGGCATGTATGACGTGCGTGTGACGGGCATTTGGTGGTGGCGGCGCTTCCTTGGTGGTTGTGGCGGCGATGCCGTGGTGGTGGTGGCGGTGGTGGCGGCGATGCCGTGGTGGTGGTGGTGGTGGTGGTGGCGATGCCGTGGTGGTGGTGGCGGTGGTGGCGGCGATGCCGTGGTGGTGGTGGTGGTGGTGGTGGCGATGCCGTGGTGGTGGCGGCGGTGGTGGTGGCGCTGCCGCGGCGCCATACCTCTCCCCCCCGAGCCTCCCCCTGACGCAGCATCTCCTCCCCACCACCCTCCCGCCGGGCAGATCCTGGGCATCACGAACCCCGAGGGGCGCAAGAAGTACATCGCGGCGGCCTTCCCCAGCGCGTGCGGCAAGACCAACCTGGCCATGATGACGCCGTCGCTGCCCGGCTGGAAGGTGGAGTGCGTGGGGGACGACATCGCCTGGATGAAGTTCGACAGTGAAGGTGGGGGGGAGGGGGGAAGGGGAGGGGGGGGAAGGGAGGGGGAAGGGAGGGAGGAGAGTGACCCATAGACTCATCACACAGCAGAGACCCACAGACTCATCACACAGCAGAGACCCATAGACTCATCACACAGCAGAGACCCACAGACTCATCACACAGCAGAGACCCACAGACTCATCACACAGCAGGGACCCATACACTCATCACACAGCAGAGACCCATAGACTCATAACACAGAGACCCACAGACTCATCACACAGCAGAGACCCATAGACTCATCACACAGCAGAGACCCATAGACTCATCACACAGCAGAGACCCATAGACTCATCACACAGCAGAGACCCATAGACTCATCACACATTAGAGACCCATAGACTCATCACACAGAGACCCATAGACTCATCACACAGAGACCCATAGACTCATCACACAGCAGAGACCCATAGACTCATCACACAGCAGAGACCCATAGACTCATCACACAGCAGAGACCCATAGACTCATCACACAGCAGAGAGCCATAGACTCATCACACATTAGAGACCCATAGACTCATCACACAGAGACCCATAGACTCATCACACATTAGAGACCCATAGACTCATCACACAGAGACCCATAGACTCATCACACAGCAGAGACCCATAGACTCATCACACAGCAGAGACCCATAGACTCATCACACAGCAGAGAGCCATAGACTCATCACACAGCAGAGACCCATAGACTCATCACACATTAGAGACCCATAGACTCATCACACACAGAGACCCATAGACTCATCACACAGCAGAGACCCATAGACTCATCACACAGCAGAGACCCATAGACTCACCACACAGCGGAGACCCACAGACTCATCACACAGCAGAGACCCATAGACTCACCACACAGCGGAGACCCACAGACTCATCACACAGCAGAGACCCATAGACTCACCACACAGCGGAGACCCATAGACTCATCACACAGCAGAGACCCATAGACTCATCACACAGCAGAGACCCATAGACTCATCACACAGCAGAGACCCATAGACTCATCACACAGCAGAGACCCATAGACTCATCACACAGCAGAGAGCCATAGACTCATCACACAGCAGAGAGCCATAGACTCATCACACAGCAGAGAGCCATAGACTCATCACACAACAGAGACCCACAGACTCATCACACAGCAGAGAGCCACAGACTCATCACACAGCAGAGACCCATAGACTCATCACACAGCAGAGACCCATAGACTCATCACACAGCAGAGACCCATAGACTTATCACACAGCAGAGACCCATAGACTCATCACACAGCAGAGACCCATAGACTCATCACACAGCAGAGAGCCATAGACTCATCACACAGCAGAGACCCATAGACTCATCACGCAGCAGAGACCCATAGACTCATCACACAGCAGAGACCCATAGACTCATCACACAGCAGAGACCCATAGACTCATCACACAGCAGAGAGCCATAGACTCATCACACAGCAGAGACCCATAGACTCATCACACAGAGACCCATAGACTCATCACACAGCAGAGACCCACAGACTCATCACACAGCAGAGACCCACAGACTCATCACACAGCAGAGACCCATAGACTCATCACACAGCAGAGAGCCATAGACTCATCACACATTAGAGACCCATAGACTCATCACACAGAGACCCATAGACTCATCACACATTAGAGACCCATAGACTCATCACACAGAGACCCATAGACTCATCACACAGCAGAGACCCATAGACTCATCACACAGCAGAGACCCATAGACTCATCACACATTAGAGACCCATAGACTCATCACACGGCAGAGACCCATAGACTCATCACACAGCAGAGACCCATAGACTCATCACACAGCAGAGACCCACTGACTCATCACACAGCAGAGACCCATAGACTCATCACACAGCAGAGACCCATAGACTCATCACACAGCAGAGACCCATAGACTTATCACACAGCAGAGACCCATAGACTCATCACACAGCAGAGACCCATAGACTCATCACACAGCAGAGAGCCATAGACTCATCACACAGCAGAGACCCATAGACTCATCACACAGCAGAGACCCATAGACTCATCACACAGCAGAGACCCATAGACTCATCACACAGCAGAGACCCATAGACTCATCACACAGCAGAGAGCCATAGACTCATCACACAGCAGAGACCCATAGACTCATCACACAGAGACCCATAGACTCATCACACAGCAGAGACCCACAGACTCATCACACAGCAGAGACCCACAGACTCATCACACAGCAGAGACCCATAGACTCATCACACAGCAGAGAGCCATAGACTCATCACACATTAGAGACCCATAGACTCATCACACAGAGACCCATAGACTCATCACACATTAGAGACCCATAGACTCATCACACAGAGACCCATAGACTCATCACACAGCAGAGACCCATAGACTCATCACACAGCAGAGACCCATAGACTCATCACACATTAGAGACCCATAGACTCATCACACGGCAGAGACCCATAGACTCATCACACAGCAGAGACCCATAGACTCATCACACAGCAGAGACCCACTGACTCATCACACAGCAGAGACCCACAGACTCATCACAGAGACCCACAGACTCATCACAGAGACCCACAGACTCGTGAGCCTCCTGCCCTCCCCCCAGGCCGCCTGCGCGCCATCAACCCCGAGAACGGCTTTTTCGGCGTGGCGCCCGGCACGTCGATGAAGACGAACCCCAACGCGATGCTGACGGTGGCACGGGGCACCGTGTTCACCAACGTGGCCGAGACGGCCGACGGCGGCGTCTACTGGGAGGGCATGGGGGGCGACCCTCCCAGCGGCGGCGTCACCTCGTGGCTCAACAAGCCCTGGAGACTGGGTGAGTGGTGGGGGGGGGGGGGGGGGGGTGTTGGTGGGGGGGTGTTGGTGGGGGGGTAGTGGTGGGGGGGTGCACAGCAACGTGGCCGAGGGCGGTGGGGGGGCGACTCTCCCACCCGTAGCGTCACCTCGTGGCTCACCCCCTACCGCTACTCGCGACTAACAGCACTTGACCCCGCGGCCCTGTTGAAGGCTACCCGGGGGAGCTTTGTGTCTGTAGGGCACCGCTACTCGTGACTAACAGCACTTGACCCCGCGACCCTGTTGGAGGCTACCTGGGGGAGCTTTGTGTCTGTAGGGCACCGCTACTCGCTACCAACAGCACTTGACCCTGCGGCCCTGTTGGAGGCTACCTGGGGGAGCTTTGTGTCTGTAGGGCACCGCTACTCGTGACTAAGAGCACTTGACCCTACGACCCTGTTGGAGGCTACCCGGGGGAGCTTTGTGTCTGTAGGGCACCGCTACTCGCTACCAACAGCACTTGACCCCACGACCCTGTTGGAGGCTACCTGGGGGAGCTTTGTGTCTGTAGGGCACCGCTACTCGTGACTAAGAGCACTTGACCCTACGACCCTGTTGGAGGCTACCCGGGGGAGCTTTGTGTCTGTAGGGCACCGCTACTCGCTACCAACAGCACTTGACCCTACGACCCTGTTGGAGGCTACCCGGGGGAGCTTTGTGTCTGTAGGGCACCGCTACTCGCTACTAACAGCACTTGACCCTGCGACCCTGTTGGAGGCTACCCGGGGGAGCTTTGTGTCTGTAGGGCACCGCTACTCGCTACCAACAGCACTTGCCCCTTCCACCCTGTTGGAGGCTACCCGGGGGAGCTTTGTGTCTGTAGGGCACCGCTACTCGCTACTAACAGCACTTGACCCTACGACCCTGTTAGAGGCTACCCGGGGGAGCTTTGTGTCTGTAGGGCACCGCTACTCGCTACCAACAGCACTTGACCCTGCGACCCTCTTGGAGGCTACCCGGGGGAGCTTTGTGTCTGTAGGGCACCGCTACTTGCTACCAACAGCACTTGACCCTGCGGCCCTGTTGGAGGCTACCTGGGGGAGCTTTGTGTCTGTAGGGCACCGCTACTCGTGACTAACAGCACTTGACCCTACCACCCTGTTGGAGGCTACCCGGGGGAGCTTTGTGTCTGTAGGGCACCGCTACTCGCTACCAACAGCACTTGACCCCGAGACCCTGTTGGAGGCTACCCGGGGGAGCTTTGTGTCTGTAGGGCACCGCTACTCGCTACCAACAGCACTTGACCCTACCACCCTGTTGGAGGCTACCCGGGGGAGCTTTGTGTCTGTAGGGCACCGCTACTCGCTATCAACAGCACTTGACCCCACGACCCTGTTGGAGGCTACCCGGGGGAGCTTTGTGTCTGTAGGGCACCGCTACTCGCTACTAACAGCACTTGACCCCGCGGCCCTGTTGGAGGCTACCCGGGGGAGCTTTGTGTCTGTAGGGCACCGCTACTCGCTACCAACAGCACTTGACCCTACGACCCTGTTGGAGGCTACCCGGGGGAGCTTTGTGTCTGTAGGGCACCGCTACTCGCTACCAACAGCACTTGACCCTACCACCCTGTTGGAGGCTACCCGGGGGAGCTTTGTGTCTGTAGGGCACCGCTACTCGTGACTAAGAGCACTTGACCCCGCGACCCTGTTGGAGGCTACCTGGGGGAGCTTGACCTCTGCCTTGTGTGGTGCGCGCCCGCAGGAGACGGCACACCGGCGGCGCACCCCAACTCGCGCTTCTGCACGCCGGCGCGCCAGTGCCCAATCATGGACCCCCAGTGGGAGTCCCCTGAGGGGGTGCCCATCGAGGCCATCGTGTTCGGAGGGCGGCGCCCGGAAGGTACCGGCAGCCACACACACACACACCGCTCCCCCCACCACACCGCTCCCCCCACCACACCACACCGCTCTCCCCCCACCACACCACACCGCTCCCCCCCCACCACACCGCTCCCCCCCCACCACACCGCTCCCCCCACCGCACCGCTCTCCCCACCGCACCGCTCTCCCCACCACACCACACCGCTCTCCCCCCACCACACCGCTCCCCCCACCGCACCGCTCTCCCCCCACCACACCGCTCCCCCCCCACCACACCGCTCTCCCCCCACCACACCGCTCTCCTCCCACCACACCGCTCTCCCCCCACCACACCGCTCTCCCCCCACCACACCGCTCTCCCCCCACACCACACCGCTCCCCCCACCACACCGCTCTCCCCCCACCACACCGCTCTCCCCCCACCACACCGCTCTCCCCACCACACCGCTCTCCCCACACCGCTCCCCCCACCGCTCTCCCCACACCGCTCTACCCCCACCGCTCTCCCCACACCGCTCTCCCCCCACCGCTCTCCCCCCACCGCTCTCCCCCCACCGCTCTCCCCCCACCGTTCTCCCCCACTGCTCTCCCCCACCGCTCTCCCCCCACCGCTCTCCCCCCACCGCTCTACCCCCACCGCTCTCCCCACACCGCTCTCCCCCCACCGCTCTCCCCCCACCGCTCTCCCCCCACCGCTCTCCCCCCCACCGTTCTCCCCCACTGCTCTCCCCCACCGCTCTCCCCCCACCGCTCTCCCCCACACCGCTCCCCCCACACCGCTCCCCCCACACCGCTCCCCCCACCGCTCTCCCCCCACCGCTCTCCCCCCACCGCTCTCCCCCCACCGCTCTCCCCCACACCGCTCCCCCCACCGCTCTCCCCCACACCGCTCTCCCCCCACACCGCTCTCCCCACCGCTCCCCCCACCGCTGCCCCCACCGCTGCCCCTACCGCTGCCCCCACCGCTCCCCCCCACCGCTCCCCCCACTGCTCTCCCCACCGCTCCCCCCACCGCTCTCCACCACTGCTCTCCCCACCGCTCCCCCCACCGCTCTCCCCACCGCTCTCCCCCCACCGCTCTCCCCACCGCTCTCCCCCACCCTGCCTCGCTCCCCTCTCACCCACACCCCCCCTCACTACCACTACCGCCCTCCCCCCCCCCCACTACCGCCCCCCCACTACCGCCCTCCCCCCACAACCGCCACTCCAAATACCGCCCCCAATTACCACACTCCCCCCACTACCACCCTCCCGCCACTCCCGCCCCCCCTCCACACTACCGCCCTCCCGCCACTCCAAATACCGCCCCCCCACTACCGCCCCCCCTCCCCACTACCGCCCCCCCACTACTGCCCCCCATTACCGCCCTATCCCCCCCCTCACTATGGGTGTCGCTGTGTGAGTGTGAGGGTCGCTGAGTGAGTGAGAGGGTCTCTGTGAGTGTCGCTGTGTCTCTGTGGGTGTCGCTGTGTCTCTGAGTGTCGCTGTGTCTCTGTGAGTGTCGCTGTGTCTCTGTGAGTGTCGCTGTGTCTCTGTGAGTGTCGCTGAGTGAGTGAGCGGGTCTCTGTGGGTGTCGCTGTGTCTCTGTGGGTGTCGCTGTGTGACTGAGAGGGTCTCTGTGGGTGTCGCTGTGTCTCTGTGGGTGTCGCTGTGTCTCTGTGAGTGTCGCTGAGTGAGTGAGCGGGTCTCTGTGGGTGTCGCTGTGTCTCTGTGGGTGTCGCTGTGTGACTGAGAGGGTCTCTGTGGGTGTCGCTGTGTCTCTGTGGGTGTCAGTGAGTGAGAGGGTCTCTGTGGGTGTCGCTGTGTCTCTGTGGGTGAGCGGGTCTCTGTGGGTGAGAGGGTCTCTGTGGGTGTCGCTGTGTCTCTGTGGGTGTCAGTGAGTGAGAGGGTCTCTGTGGGTGTCGCTGTGTCTCTGTGGGTGTCGCTGTGTGAGTGAGAGGGTCTCTGTGGGTGTCGCTGTGTCTCTGTGGGTGTCGCTGTGTCTCTGTGGGTGTCGCTGTGTGAGTGAGAGGGTCTCTGTGGGTGTCGCTGTGTCTCTGTGGGTGTCGCTGTGTGAGTGAGAGGGTCTCTGTGAGTGTCGCTGTGTCTCTGTGAGTGTCGCTGTGTCTCTGTGGGTGTCGCTGTGTCTCTGTGGGTGTCGCTGTGTCTCTGTGGGTGTCGCTGAGTGAGTGAGAGGGTCTCTGTGAGTGTCGCTGTGTCTCTGTGGGTGTCGCTGTGTCTCTGTGGGTGTCGCTGTGTCTCTGTGGGTGTCGCTGTGTGAGTGAGAGGGTCTCTGTGAGTGTCGCTGTGTCTCTGTGGGTGTCGCTGTGTGAGTGAGAGGGTCTCTGTGGGTGTCGCTGTGTCTCTGTGGGTGTCGCTGTGTCTCTGTGGGTGTCGCTGTGTGAGTGAGAGGGTCTCTGTGAGTGTCGCTGTGTCTCTGTGGGTGTCGCTGTGTGAGTGAGAGGGTCTCTGTGGGTGTCGCTGTGTCTCTGGGTGTCGCTGTGTGAGTGAGAGGGTCTCTGTGGGTGTCGCTGTGTCTCTGGGTGTCGCTGTGTGAGTGAGAGGGTCTCTGTGGGTGTCGCTGTGTCTCTGTGGGTGTCGCTGTGTCTCTGTGGGTGTCGCTGTGTGAGTGAGAGGGTCTCTGTGAGTGTCGCTGTGTCTCTGTGAGTGTCGCTGTGTCTCTGTGAGTGTCGCTGTGTCTCTGTGGGTGTCGCTGTGTGAGTGAGAGGGTCTCTGTGAGTGTCGCTGTGTCTCTGTGAGTGTCGCTGTGTCTCTGTGGGTGTCGCTGTGTCTCTGTGGGTGTCGCTGTGTCTCTGTGGGTGTCGCTGTGTCTCTGTGGGTGTCGCTGTGTCTCTGTGAGTGTCGCTGTGTGAGTGAGAGGGTCTCTGTGGGTGTCGCTGTGTCTCTGTGAGTGTCGCTGAGTGAGTGAGAGGGTCTCTGTGGGTGTCGCTGTGTCTCTGTGGGTGTCGCTGTGTCTCTGTGGGTGTCGCTGTGTCTCTGTGAGTGTCGCTGAGTGAGTGAGAGGGTCTCTGTGGGTGTCGCTGTGTCTCTGTGGGTGTCGCTGTGTCTCTGTGAGTGTCGCTGTGTCTCTGTGAGTGTCGCTGTGTGAGTGAGAGGGTCTCTGTGGGTGTCGCTGTGTCTCTGTGGGTGTCGCTGTGTCTCTGTGGGTGTCGCTGTGTCTCTGTGGGTGTCGCTGTGTCTCTGTGAGTGTCGCTGTGTCTCTCTGGGTGTCGCTGTGTCTCTGTGGGTGTCGCTGTGTGAGTGAGAGGGTCTCTGTGGGTGTCGCTGTGTCTCTGTGGGTGTCGCTGTGTCTCTGTGGGTGTCGCTGTGTCTCTGTGAGTGTCGCTGTGTGAGTGAGAGGGTCTCTGTGGGTGTCGCTGTGTCTCTGTGAGTGTCGCTGAGTGAGTGAGAGGGTCTCTGTGGGTGTCGCTGTGTCTCTGTGGGTGTCGCTGTGTCTCTGTGGGTGTCGCTGTGTCTCTGTGAGTGTCGCTGAGTGAGTGAGAGGGTCTCTGTGGGTGTCGCTGTGTCTCTGTGGGTGTCGCTGTGTGAGTGAGAGGGTCTCTGTGGGTGTCGCTGTGTCTCTGTGAGTGTCGCTGTGTCTCTGTGAGTGTCGCTGTGTGAGTGAGAGGGTCTCTGTGGGTGTCGCTGTGTCTCTGTGGGTGTCGCTGTGTCTCTGTGGGTGTCGCTGTGTCTCTGTGGGTGTCGCTGTGTCTCTGTGAGTGTCGCTGTGTCTCTCTGGGTGTCGCTGTGTCTCTGTGGGTGTCGCTGTGTGAGTGAGAGGGTCTCTGTGAATGTCGCTGTGTCTCTGTGGGTGTCGCTGTGTGAGTGAGAGGGTCTCTGTGGGTGTCGCTGTGTCTCTGTGAGTGTCGCTGTGTCTCTGTGGGTGTCGCTGAGTGAGTGAGAGGGTCTCTGTGGGTGTCGCTGTGTCTCTGTGGGTGTCGCTGTGTCTCTGAGTGTCGCTGTGTCTCTGTGAGTGTCGCTGTGTCTCTGTGAGTGTCGCTGTGTCTCTGTGAGTGTCGCTGTGTCTCTGTGGGTGTCGCTGTGTGAGCGAGAGGGTCTCTGTGGGTGTCGCTGTGTCTCTGTGGGTGTCGCTGTGTCTCTGTGAGTGTCGCTGTGTCTCTGTGAGTGTCGCTGTGTCTCTGTGAGTGTCGCTGTGTGAGTGAGAGGGTCTCTGTGGGTGTCGCTGTGTCTCTGTGAGTGTCGCTGTGTGAGTGAGAGGGTCTCTGTGGGTGTCGCTGTGTCTCTGTGGGTGTCGCTGAGTGAGTGAGAGGGTCTCTGTGGGTGTCGCTGTGTCTCTGTGGGTGTCGCTGAGTGAGTGTGAGGGTCTCTGTGGGTGTCGCTGTGTCTCTGTGGGTGTCGCTGAGTGAGTGAGTGGGTCTCTGTGAGTGTCGCTGTGTCTCTGTGGGTGTCGCTGAGTGAGTGAGAGGGTCTCTGTGGGTGTCGCTGTGTCTCTGTGGGTGTCGCTGTGTCTCTGAGTGTCGCTGTGTCTCTGTGAGTGTCGCTGTGTCTCTGTGAGTGTCGCTGTGTCTCTGTGGGTGTCGCTGTGTGAGTGAGAGGGTCTCTGTGGGTGTCGCTGTGTCTCTGTGGGTGTCGCTGTGTCTCTGTGGGTGTCAGTGAGTGAGAGGGTCTCTGTGAGTGTCGCTGTGTGAGTGAGAGGGTCTCTGTGAGTGTCGCTGTGTCTCTGTGGGTGTCGCTGAGTGAGTGAGAGTGTCTCTGTGGGTGTCGCTGTGTCTCTGTGGGTGTCGCTGTGTCTCTGAGTGTCGCTGTGTCTCTGAGTGTCGCTGTGTCTCTGTGGGTGTCGCTGAGTGAGTGTCGCTGTGTCTCTGTGGGTGTCTCTGTGGGTGTCGCTGTGTCTCTGTGGGTGTCGCTGTGTCTCTGTGGGTGTCGCTGTGTCTCTGTGGGTGTCGCTGTGTGAGTGAGAGTCTCTGTGGGTGTCGCTGTGTCTCTGTGGGTGTCGCTGTGTCTCTGTGGGTGTCGCTGTGTGAGTGAGAGTCTCTGTGGGTGTCGCTGTGTCTCTGTGGGTGTCGCTGTGTCTCTGTGGGTGTCGCTGTGTCTCTGTGGGTGTCGCTGTGTCTCTGTGAGTGTCGCTGTGTCTCTGTGGGTGTCGCTGTGTGAGTGAGAGTCTCTGTGGGTGTCGCTGTGTCTCTGTGGGTGTCGCTGAGTGAGAGGGTCTCTGTGGGTGTCGCTGTGTCTCTGTGGGTGTCGCTGAGTGAGTGAGAGGGTCTCTGTGAGTGTCGCTGTGTCTCTGTGGGTGTCGCTGAGTGAGTGAGAGTCTCTGTGGGTGTCGCTGTGTCTCTGTGGGTGTCGCTGAGTGAGAGGGTCTCTGTGGGTGTCGCTGTGTCTCTGTGGGTGTCGCTGAGTGAGTGAGAGGGTCTCTGTGGGTGTCGCTGTGTCTCTGTGGGTGTCGCTGAGTGAGTGAGAGTCTCTGTGGGTGTCGCTGTGTCTCTGTGGGTGTCGCTGTGTCTCTGTGAGTGTCGCTGAGTGAGTGAGAGGGTCTCTGTGGGTGTCGCTGTGTCCCTAGGGGTGCCGCTGGTGTACGAGGCGTTTGACTGGCGCCATGGGGTGTTTGTTGGCGCTGCCATGCGGTCAGAGGCCACCGCGGCCGCAGAGCACAAAGGTAGCACACCGCCGTCACCATCAACACCACCATCAACACCGCCGTCACCATCAACACCACCTCCACCGTCACCATCACCATCAACACCGCCACCACCATCAACACCGCCACTACCATCACCATCACCATCAACACCGCCGCTACCTTCACCATCAACACCGCCGTCACCATCAACACCGCCGTCACCATCAACACCGCCGTCACCATCAACACCGCCGTCACCATCAACACCGCCATCACCATCAACACCGCCATCACCATCAACACCACCATCAACACCGCCGTCACCATCAACACCACCTCCACCGTCACCATCACCATCAACACCGCCACCACCATCAACACCGCCACTACCATCACCATCACCATCAACACCGCCGCTACCTTCACCATCAACACCGCCGTCACCATCAACACCGCCGTCACCATCAACACCGCCGTCACCATCAACACCGCCGTCACCATCAACACCGCCGTCACCATCAACACCGCCATCACCATCAACACCGCCGCTACCTTCACCATCAACATCGCCGCTACCATCACCACGCCGTCACCATCGTCACCAGCAACATCATTGACACCATTAACTCCCTCCCACTCTTGCCCCCCTCATCAACCCTCCCTCCCACCCACCTCTCCCTCCCACCCACCTCTCCCTCCCACCCACCGACCACACACACCCACCCACCAACACACCCACCCACCCACCCACCAACACACCCACCCACCAACCAACACACCCACCCACCAACACACCCACCCACCAACACACACACCCACCAACACACCCACCCACCAACACACCCACCAACCAACACACCCACCCACCCACCAACACACACACCCACCAACACACCAACCCACCCACCAACACACCCACCCCCCCACACACCAACACACATCCACACAAACCCACCGCTCAACGCCACTCCACCACACCCCCACACCCCACCACCACACCCACCCCCCCCACACACCACCACACCACCACCCCCACACACCACCACACCACCACACCCACCCCCCCCACACACCACCACACCACCACACCCCACCACCACACCCACCACACCCCCACACACACTACCACACACCCCCCCACCCCCCCCACCCCCCCCCCCCCCCGCGCACGCCCCAGGCAAGGCCATCATGCACGACCCCTTCGCCATGCGCCCCTTCTTCGGCTACAACTTCGGCCGCTACCTCGCCCACTGGCTGGCCATGGAGCGCCACGCCGGCGCCCGCCTCCCCAAGATCTTCCACGTCAACTGGTTCCGCCGGGACCCGTCCACCGGCGCCTTCCTGTGGCCGGGCTTCGGCGAGAACGCCCGCGTCCTCGCCTGGATCTTTCGCCGTGCCGACGAGGGCCCCGGCTCGGCCGGCGAGGGCACGGCCGCCGTCGCTTCGGCCGTGGGCCTCCTGCCGGCGCCGGGCGCGATCGACGTGGCCGCGGCGGGCGGCGGGCCGGCCGCCGACGAGGCGGCGCTGTTGGCGCTGCCGCGGGACTTCTGGGAGCGCGAGGCGGACGAGGTGGGCCGCTACCTGGAGGATCAGGTGAACGACGACCTGCCGGCGGAGGTGGCGCGTCAGCTCGAGGCGCTCAGGGGCCGCGTGGCCGCCATGTGAGCTGGGGGAGGGTGGGGTTGGGGGGGGGGGCCGTGGTGGGGGGGCGGAGGGGGGTGACGGTGGAGGGGTGAATGGGTTGAGGGGGGGGGGCGATGGTGGGGGGGGTGGGCTAGGCTACGATGGGTGGGTGGGTGACGAAGGCCGATGGCGGGGGCGGGGCGACGGGTGGGGGCGGGGCTACGGGCAGGGCTACAGATGGGGGCGGGGCTATGGGCAGGGCGTCGGGTGGGGGCGGGGCTATGGGCGGGGCTACAGGCGGGGGCGGGGCTACATGTGGGGGTGACGGTGGGGGGGGTGGGCACCACGTCCACCCAGGTGGTGCCCAAATGCCACCAGATTTGGTTTCACCACAGCCACTGCCAAATCTCGTCACCGAATCCCCCCCCCCCCAAACCCTCGTCACGCTGGGGTCAATCCCAAACCCTCGCCCCCTTGGGATCAATCCCCAACCCTCGCCCCCCTGGGATAAATCCCAAACCCTCGCCCCCCTGGGATCAATCCCAAACCCTCGTCCGGCTGGGATCAATCCCAAACCCTCGCCCCCCTGGGATCAATCCCAAACCCTCGTCCCCCTGGGATCAATCCCAAACCCTCGTCCCTCTGGGATCAATCCCAAACCCTCGCCCCGTTGGGATCAATCCCAAACCCTCGCCCCCCTGGGATCAATCCCAAACCCTCGCCCCCCTGGGATCAATCACAAACCCTCGCCCCGTTGGGATCAATCCCAAACCCTCATCCCGTTGGGATCAATCCCAAACCCTCGCCCCCCTGGGATCAATCCCAAACCCTCGTCCCTCTGGGATCAATCCCAAACCCTCGCCCCCCTGGGATCAATCCAACACGCTCGTCACGTTGGGATCAATCCCAAACCCTCGCCCCGTTGGGATCAATCCCAAACCCTCGTCCCCCTGGGATCAATCCCAAACCCTCGTCCCCCTGGGATCAATCCCAAATCCTCGTCCCGTTGGGATCAATCCCAAACCCTCATCCCGTTGGGATCAATCCAACACGCTCGCCCCCCAGTGATCAATCTGGAACGCGTTTGAGTGTGAGCGTGAGCGTGCGTGAGTGTGAGTGTGCGTGCGTGGGTGTGCGAGGGGCGAGTGTGTGGGTACATGCGTGACTCTGGTGAGCTGACGAGAGAGAGTGTGTTGGTGAGTGTAAGGTGAGGTAGTTTCACACACTAACAAGCATGTCAATTAACGCTAATCAACTATGCAAAGGGGGCTTGGCAAAGGAAATGATCTCCATGCAAGTCTGTGGGTCACTATGCGAGTCTGTGGGTCACTGTGTGAGTCTGTGGGTCACTGTGAGTCTGTGGGTCACTGTGTGAGTCTGTGGGTCACTGTGTGAGTCTGTGGGTCACTGTGTGAGTCTGTGGCTGTCTGCTGTGTGATGAGTCTATGGGTCTCTGCTGTGTGGTGAGTCTGTGGGTCTCTGCTGTGTGGTGAGTATATGGGTCTCTGAGTCTCATGAGGATCTAAGGGTCTCTATGAGACAATATGGTACTCTGCTGTGTGAGTCTATGGGTCTCTATGAGGCTTTGAGGCTCTGGGTCTCTGAGACTCTATGGCTCTGTGCTGTGTGATGAGTCTGTTGGTCTCCGCTGTGTGATGAGTCTATGGCTCTGTGTGTGCTGAGTCTATGGGTCTCTGCTGTGTGCTGAGTCTATGGCTCTCTGCTGTGTGATGAGTCTATGGGTCTCTGCTGTGTGATGAGTCTATGGGTCTCTGTTGTGTGATGAGTCTATGGGTCTCTGCTGTGTGATGAGTCTATGGGTCTCTGTTGTGTGATGAGTCTATGGGTCTCTGCTGTGTGATGAGTCTATGGCTCTCTGCTGTGTGATGAGTCTATGGCTCTCTGCTGTGTGATGAGTCTATGGGTCTCTCTGCTGTGTGATGAGTCTATGGCTCTCTGCTGTGTGATGGGTTTATGGGTCTCTGCTGTGTGATGAGTCTATGGCTCTCTGCTGTGTGATGAGTCTATGGGTCTCTCTGAGGCTCCGTGGGTCTCTATGAGACTCTATGGCTCTCTGCTGTGTGGAGGATTTCTCGTGCCCCCTTGGTGCCAAATACCTGTGGGGTTGGTGCCTACGACCCCAGGCTCTGTGAGCGGCGCTGGCTCTGCTGCGTCTCCCAGCGCCGGCCGTTGTGATTAACCCCCCCCCCCCCGACGGCTTGAGCCGGTGCTCTGCAAGCTGCCGGTGTGGGAATTCCACGTTCCTAATGGACGGGAGGGTGGACAAGTCCATCCGTGGGAAGGGACCGACCCTGCCTCTGACGTCCCTCGGAGTTGAATCGGCCATACCCCTGTTGTGGTGGTGAAGATGAAGATAGTGGTGGTGCTGATTTAATGTGGTTGTGGTGGTCACGACAGTGGTGGTGGTTGTGGTGAATATGAAGATCGTGGTGGGTTGCTGATTTAATGTGGTGGTGGTGGTGGTGAATGTGGTAGCGGTAAGGACAATGGTATTAGTTGTGCTGATGAAGGTGGTGGTGAATTTGGTGAACGTAGCAGCGGTGGTGGTAATAGCGGAGGGCGTTAAATATTCCCGTGACGCCAATTCGCAAGATGGCGATCACGATCACCGTGGTGATGGTGATCATTGCCGCAGTCGTATTAATCGTCGTGATTGTGATAATCGTCGTCGATCCTTGTCGCAATCATAATAATCGTCGTGATTGTGATTAAAGTCGCAATCATAATAATCGTCGCATTGTGATCGTTGTCGTGATCGTAATCGTCGTCATGATCGTCGTCGTAATCATCACGATTGTCGATGTGCGTGCGTGCCTGCATCACATTTAAATTTCACCGAATAAAAAAAGCGGAGTGGAATTTGTATGATCTCCCCCTGTTCTACAGAGTTTGTATGATCTCCCTCTGTCCTACTGAGTGGAGTTTGTATGATCTCCCCCTGTCCTACAGAGTGAGTGGAGTTTGTATGATCTCCCCCTGTCCTACAGAGTGAGTGGAGTTTGTATGATCTCCCCCTGTCCTACAGAGTGAGTGGCGTGTGTGATCTCCCCCTGTCCTAAAGAGTGGAGTTTGTACGATCTCCCTCTGTCCTACAGAGTGAGTGGAGTTTGTATGATCTCCCCCTGTCCTACAGAGTGAGTGGAGTTTGTATGATCTCCCCCTGTCGCACCCCGAGGTGAACAGGGAATGGCTCCGACTCCCGGCCACATAGTTTTACCCGGGCCCGCTCACCATCATGAAGGTCCTTAATGATCGTGAGCAGAGGGTCAGGGACTCCAAAAGCACGAAGAACAACCCAGAGCCCAGGCCTACTGATGGTAACATAGGCCTTGACCAGGTCAATAAAGCAGAGATGTAGGTCTTGTTGGAATTCCTTATACCTCTGCTGTAGCAGACGAACAGAAAATATGGCATCGGTGCAGGACCGCCCTTTCCTGAAACTACATTGGGGCTCCGCAAGCCTCTCCTCAGCGTGCCTGGCAAGGCGATGTTGAATAATCCTTGCCAGGACCTTTCCCGGCACACTGAGGAGTGAGATGCCCCTGTAGGTGTTACAGTCTGTGCGGGTCCCCCTTCTAAAAGAGGGGGACCACCAGGGCATCCTTCCAATCCTGCGGAACCCGTCCAGTGGCCCAGACTTGTTATGATGTCATATAGGGCAGTATGTCCACAAACGCCACCCTCCCTCAGCATTTCGCTTGGGAGATCATCTCTGCCTGGTGCCTTTCCTGGTCTCACTCTGGATCGCCTTCAGTACTTCCTCAACAGATGGCACCTCAGCCAGCCACTCACAGGAGGTGACTTCCTCCTCCAATATTTGAGGCACTGCAGCCTCAGCAGGGTCATCCTCACTTTGTGCCATGATGTTTTCCTGGCTGAGGGATTTCCCCTCCCCCAGGACCTCACAGAAATGCTCAGCAAATCTGCAAACCTGTTCCTGGGGGTCGGAGATTGGATCACCGTTTTTTCCCCTAATGATGGTAATAGGTGTGGCGCTGCAGGTTACTTTTTTGATGGAGTTAAATAGGGATTTGTGATCGTGGGCCACTGAGGCAGACTCCATCTCCTCAGCAACCCGCGACCACCACCCATCCTTGCAGCGTCTCACGGCTCTCCGAACCTCCGAGCGAAGGCTGCGGTAAGCCTCCTCATTCTCTGACGTGGGATGCTGTATAACATTAGAATGGGCCTGGCGCTTTTTCTCAACCATCCTGAACACCTCCTCTGTCAGCCAGGGTCTCTGGGGAGGTCTGGACCGCGTACCCAAAGCAGCCATTGCAGCTGCATGAGTGACAGTCCTAAACCTCGCCCATTTACCCTCGACATCTAGAGAAGTGGGGGACGATGCCAACCCCAGCCGCAAGCGATGATGAAATTCTCCCTTGCAACTTTCATCAGCTAGAGACACACAGACACACACAACAACCACCGCCATTCGCCACTAAGTGGCGGTGATGTCACCACGACGCTTGTACCAGACACACACACAGACAGACACAGACATACACAGACAAACACACACAGACACACACACACAGACACACACACGCAGACACACAGATAAACACACAGACAGATACACAAACACACAGACACACACACACACAAAGACACGCACGCACCGCGGCTATGAGCGGCCGTACCTTTGGCGGGTTAGGGAGCGCCTATTCAGGCAATGTGTGTGCATCAATATACGCGTGCATCAATATACGCGTGTAAATATACGCGTGTAAATATATGCGTGCGTCAACGTGTGTGCATGCACTGTCGGTGTCTTTGCAACTTGGGGTGTGATCGCTCTGTCAACTTGAGACTCCGGTCGTGTCGCTCACGAATCCCCGAGCGCCGTACGAATGGGAACATCTAGCGCCGGATAGGAACATCTTCACTGGTTAGGAACGTCCAGGCACCGACATCTCTACGAATGGGAACATCTTCACTGGTTAGGAACGTCCAGGCACCGACATCTCTATGAATGGGAACATCTTCACTGGTTAGGAATGTCCAGGCATGGCCCTCTCTACGAATGGGAACATCTAGCG